ACTCGGGTCGACCATGTTGGCCGCTTGTAAGGCGAACGCCCTACCCGCTGTGCTATCGTAGTGGTTCCGTATTGTTCCCAGTGATTCCATCTTGTATCCCAATGGTTCCATATGGTATTACAGTGGTTGCACATTGTTCCCAATAGTTCTTTCTTTTTTTTTTTTCTTTTTGGGTCACACCCGGCAACGCTCAGGAGTTACTCCTGCTTCTTGCACTCAGGAATTACTCCTGGGACCAGCTGGGATGCTGGGAATCGAACCAAGGTCAGCTGCGTGCAAGGCAAACGCCCTACCTGCTGTGCTACTGCTCCAGCCCCTGTTCCCAGTAGTTCTATATTGAATATCATCGATTTCACAGTGTATCCCAGTGGTTTCCTATTATTTCCAGTCGATCCATATTATATCACAGTGGCTTCATATTGTACCTCAGTGGTTCCCTATTGTTCCCAGTGGTTCCATGATACTTCAAAAATTCCATACTGTATCCCCGTGGTTCCATATTATTCCCAGTGGTTCCATACTATATTCTAGCGATTCCACATTATACCCCACTGGTTTCATACTGTATTCCAGTGGTCCCATATGGTTTCCAATGATTCCATATTCTTTCCAGTGGTCCCATATTGTTTCCAATGATTCCATATTCTTTCCAGTGGTCCCATATTGTTTCCAATGATTCCATATTCTTTCCAGTGGTCCCATATTGTTTCCAGTGATTTCATAATCCTCCCAGTGGCTACATACTGCTCACAGTGGTTCTATACTATTCCCAGTGGCTCCATTATTATATTCCAGTGATTTCATTTTGTTCCTGGTGGCTCCATGTTATAGCCTGTGGCTCCATACTGTGCCAAGTGGTTCCATATTGCGCCCTGGTCGCTCCATATTTTTCTCAGCTAGAGTGTGGTTCTGCTTATTGGTATGGTCCGTTAGCATCCTAATCCTTCTGATCCATTCCCTTCAAAAGGGATACAGCAAAGCAGAAAGTGGCTTTCCATCCAGGGAAACAGGGATGTGTCCGACTAAAGTGAAAAGCATACATACTGCAGACGGGCTTTCCTGGCCATCATAAAATGACCTCTTATTCATTTACTCAGAGAATTCCAAACCGAAAGATGTGCAGTGTCTCTACAGAGCGTCTCCCAAGGCTGTTAGAACTCTGCTTTCCCATCTGTTCAGTAAAACCATCGGGCAGCTCCTTCGGAAACCCCATGGGCCTCGTACCTGCGTTCTTGGCCTCCAAACTGAACTGATTATAAGCTGGACTTGAAGAATTCTTATGCCAATCAATAGGAACAATAGTCTGACACAGCGAAATCTCAGCAGCCACAGAAGTCTCACCTTGTTGTCTGCAAGGGAAAAACCGCTTAGCGTACACCCTGCTGTAGGAATCGAAGACTTCAGGAATCAGGATCGCCAAGATGCTCTTTCTGAGTTTCCAGTGTCGCTGGGTGCTGGGGGCCACTTTTTGTCCCTTTCCCCACTGGAGACCAAACAGGGCAAACGTCTAAGTTGATATTAACAGCAAAACTGAGGCTGGCTTAATTCAGCAAGTACGTTGCCCAGTGGCCTTCCGACTTTGGATGTCTGGCCCCTTCTCTCCCGCCATCTGACCTCGTGGTGTGAGACAGCCAGCCCTCCCTCCTGCCTTCTGCAGTTCCGACAGACACTCGGACTGATGGGGGCTTTAGGGTGGCTGGTGCTTCCCGCTGGAAATCACGAGGTGGGGTTCAGCTCTTTTAAAGAACGATTCCTGTTGTAAGACTGGTGTTAGTCTGTTTCTGCACTGTCTTTCCACAAATGTGTTAACTTGTCCTAACTTAGACTATACACATGCCATTGTGTATTTTACACACACACACACACACACACACATATATAAGTATAGACTATTTTTTTTGGGGGGGGGTCACACCCGGCAAGGCTCAGGGGTTCCTCCTGGCTCTGCACTCAGGAATTACTCCTGGCGGTGCTCAGGGACCATATGGGATGCTGGGAATCGAACCTGGGTTGGCCGCGTGCAAGGCAAACATCCTACCCGCTATGCTACTGCTCCAGCCCCAGTATAGACATTATTTTGAAAACTCGCAGCACTGTATATCAGTCTCGACTCTTTGGTGAACTCTTAGAAGCCCTTTGCAGGGATTCAGGCGCTTTCCTTGGATTCCAGTGATTTCTCCTCCTCTCCCCCCTGCCCTCCGTGCACACATGCTTGCAGTTACTTCCTGAACCATTCAACGTTTAGTTACATGCCTCACCAAGCTTCAGCCCTCCATCCTCCCACCTGTCTCTCCTGAGAACTAGGACATTCTCCTCTGTGGCCCCAATGCTACCAGCGTGTCCCCCCCAACTAAATGTCGACATGGGAACAGGACCTGATGTGTGGTCCCGCTCACCCCTTGCCCCGTGGTGGTCTTCAGAGCAGTGTCATTCTACTTTTAGTATTTAACTGCCTGGGCCGTGGTTCTGCTGTCTCCGATGGTGTTATTTCTTGATGCTCTCGAATCTAGAATGGTCTCTTACTTTCCTTCCGTGGTGCCAGCCTTCTCCCTCGCCCAGGGTCCTCTCAGAGACCCTCCCATGCTGGCTGGCCTGGCACTCGGCCACGGCATCTGCAGTGCCGAGCTGGACGGTGGAGTCACCCTGATGGGGTCTGTCACGTTCCTCTCGTCCAGCAAACTGTGAACACAACCTCGGTTCCCCAGCAGCATGGAAGCCATGTCCTGGCCGCCACAGAAGGTTCTGGAAGGCAGAGCTGAGGGTCGCTGGGAAGGACCGAAGGCGGGTTTTTCCAGTCCGGCCAGTGTCCTCTCTTGGTGCTGTCGAGGGGCGGGTGGCCGGGTACAAGGAAAGGCAGGTCTGCTCCTGCACCCAAACCCTCCCCTCCCACACGCAGCCACGCGGCCCTCCTGCTCCTGCGTTGGGTGCAGGGCGCAGACTGAGTGTGGGAGGGGAGACGGGTGGTGTGAGCGCCACCCTCCGCATCACCCTCACCATCCTGGGCACTGCCAGGTGTGGCTCTCAAACCCGACAAAACATCCTGACCAGCTGCTGATGAGGGAAGAGCGGGAGCTGCTGGCCACGAGGTGGTGGGCGTGTGGCCACGCCTCAGCCCGCAGCTGCCCCAGACGTGCCCGCCAAGGTCAACACGCAGATGCGCCTCCCGGGAGTGAGTCTTCATCGATTATTTGCACATGTGGTGAAGCCCGCCCTGGTCAAAGGTTGACAGCTGCACTCCTGGGGTGGGGGCCAACAGGTGCCTCCCTGCCTCCCCGTCAGTGCCCGGGACCGTCGTGCCTCTCCTCCTCGCTAACATCTTTGTTTAGTTTCTGGCGCTTAAAATTCAGGGAAAGAAAGAGCTGCTGCCAGCGTATGTTTGGGCCATGCCCAGTGGCGCTCGGGGGACCATTGGGGGTCTCAGGGAATGTCCTGAGGTCTGCTGCAGGCAAAGCAAACACCTTAATCCCTGCTCTATCCCTCTCTCCAGCCCAGCTTGTCATCTTAAAAGCTTTGGAGGCATCAAGTTAGCTGCTTTTAGTTTAGAACAAAGCCCAGTGGGTTGTTTTATGTTTTGTGTTTTTATTTATTTTTATTTATTTATTATTATTTTTTAAAATAATTTTTGCTTTTTTGTTTTTGGCTTTTTGGGTCACACAAAGTGATCGTCAGGGGTTACTCCTGGTTCTGCACTCACATTATTCTCATTCATAATGACTTACAACGAGTCATTCTCTCTAAGCCTCTGTTTCTTCGGGGCTCTATGATTCCTGAGCCATGAATGACCAGGGATTGAATATAATATAATATTATGTATTGCGCCGCACTGTATCACTGTCCTCCCGTTGTTCATCGATTTTCTCCAGCGGGCCCAGTAACGTCTCCATCGTGAGACTTGTTGTTACTGTGTTTGGCATATCGAATACGTCACGGGGAGCTTGCCAGGCTCTGCCGCGTGGGCGAGATACTCTCGGTAGCTTGCCGGGCTCTCCGAGAGGGGCGGAGCAATCGAACCCGGCTCAGCCAGGCCGGCTGCATGCAAGGCAAACGCCCTACCGCTGTGCTATCTCTCCAGCCCAATATTATTTATTATATTAAAGGTAAAGGCCCTCCCGTTGATCGTCGATTTGCTCGAGCGGGCCCAGTAACGTCTCCATTGGAGACTTTGTTGTTACTGTGTCTGGCATATCGAATACGTCACGGGGAGCTTGCCAGGCTTTGCCGTGCAGGCTGAGTACTCTCGGTAGCTTGCCGGGCTCTCATATAATATTATATATATTAAAACAAACAAACAAAAAGCAAAAAAAGAAAACAAAATTCAGTTCTGCATTTCTGCACTGCATTCATTATGAATCATCCTTGGCGGTACTTAGGGGACCATACAGGGTACCAGGGATAGAACCTGGGTCTGCCACATGCAAGGCAAATGTCCTACCCGCTGTACTATTGCTCCAGCCCCATGCCTGGTGGGTTTTGAAGAGAAAAGAAAAAAAAAAAAGTCTTCTAGAATGCAGCCGTGTGAGCAGAAGCCCCGCTAACCCACAGGGCTGTGCTGCTCCCGTCTCCTCCCGCAGGGGAGTGGGCACTGCAGGGGCCCAGATGCACGAGTGCCCAGTGCCCAGGGAAATTGTGGAGTGATGACACCTTCTTAGAGACCCCTTAGAGGTTCGGCCCCTCCTCCCTAGTCTGGGGATTGTCAACACACACCACCGGGAAACTGAAACGAGCTCACTCCTCCCGGGGTGAAAGTCAGCATCGTGCTGGTCCTTCCTGCCTGCCGTGGGCCTGAGCGGTCACTGTTGATACGGGGCAAATTCATGAAACCCAGGGCGGTGAGGCTGGTCCTGGTGGGCGCTACTTGGGACGCAGTTTCTGAAAACCCCCAATTCCACAGAAGGGAGTGTCCAGTCTATCCGTCCTAAAACCACACCCTTCCCCTCGGAAGACCGTTTCCCGCGTCTTCCGTTGCATCACTTAATGCTTCTCTCGCGTCTCTGTTTCAGTCCAGACCAGCACCAGCCCATACCGGGGGCAAGGCTGCACGCAGGCCCCGCGGGCTTCGGAGTCATCGGCCGAGACTGCAGGTTTGTGTGGGCGCCCGAGGACTGGCTGGCAACGGGTGGGCGGGGGCCGGGCAACGTCTTCCTTACTCACGTGGACGTGATCTTTGGCGTCTCGGGCAGATGAGGGATGATGCCGGTGTGCGTGTCACTGGCCACGTGGGCGCGGGCCCAGAGGGCCAGGCTCCCCCGGAGACCTTCCTGCAGGAGCTCAGCCTTGTGCCCGTGTGTCACCGGCCCCAGAATGGGTGCCACGCCAGGCCCCTCCGCCTCGCGGTGGGCGACTCCTCCCCACGCGGTGTGGGGGCAGAGGGAGAGTCCACCCGGTTCGGATCAACACCCCCTGAGGCTCATGCTTTGCCCAAGCTGCCGGCGAAACTGCCTGTAGGCTGCCCGGCAGGACGGAGAAGCAGGCCCAGTGTCCACCCCCCCACCCCCGTGACCTCCAGGACAGTGACGCCCACCTGTGGCCTTCTAGCAGCGGCCCTGCCCCAGGCCTACCCGTCCCCCCCAGTGCCGAGGCTACTTTGTAGCATTTTCCGTGGGTTCCTGTGGCTGGCCACCAGGTGTGGCCTCTGCTGTGTCCCTCATCTGCTGCTTCCGTGGCTGTTGTGGGAGGCTGATGGTCAGTGAAAGGGAGGCCAGAAGAAAAGGCCACAGGATGGAGGCTCTGGGGGGGGGTCTAAGGGGGATGTGGAGTCGGGGGTGGGGTGGGGGTTAGGGGGAGGAAGGTAACCCGCTCCTGACCAGGGGCCCCTGGAGAGGAGGAGGAGCGCCGCCTACTGGTCACTGCTGAGATGGCCTCTCACCCAGCCCGGTGTCCCGTGGAATCGGAAGGACCCCAGGGCCCGTCCTGAGTGGGAAGGGGCTAGAAGCAGGCCGAGGAGAAAGGTCTGTGGGGTGGCCTCAGAGTGGGGGCTGGGTTCCCCTTCTTCCTCGTCTCTGCGTGGGTAGGAAACCCGCTGAGACTGGCTTCACCTGAGTTCGCTCCAGAACTGGATTCTTTCTTCTGTTTTATTTTTATTTTTATTTTTATTTATGAGATGTGTGTATGGGCGGGGGGCTGCAGAGGGTGGGCTGTGCTTGGGGAACCCTGTCTGACCTGGGGATCTGTTCATCTCCTGGGTCCCACTTCTCCTTCCAGGCCTGGCTGCCGGCCGACTCCCGGGTGAGTGAGTGTGTGTGTGTGTGTGTGTGTGTGGTGTGTGTGTGTGTGTTGGTGGGGGGGCACGGGGAACGCTGGGGGCACTGGTCCCATCGTCCTTGCCTCCCCGGAGAGGAAGTAAGGGCGCTATAAATTGGCTTCTGCCCAGACCCCTCTCAGCAGAAGAGGTGCGCTGGACCGGACATTTTGCGTTTTCTGTTTCTAAGTTAAAGTCACAAGCTTGAGAGCCGCCATGTGGCCTGGAGAACAGTGATTGTGCGGCCGCCAGGTGTGACCTTGGACTAAATGTTCCCTTGGATCAGGTGTCGGCACTGAGATGCGTCTCTCCTCGCTGTTCTAGACTGGCAAAGTAGGACACTGAGGGGAAGGTTTTCTCCCTCCCTCTGGAAACCGTTTTTCCCTCCTCCCTCTGCCAATGGTGGCTGCAGCCTCACTGCAAGGAAACACGTGTCCTGCGTTGTCCTGGGGAAGAGCGCGGTCCCTGCGGGGGCATCTCAGCCGCTGGGACCCGAGGTCAGTCCCAGGGGAACGGCGTGGCATGGTGGGCTCTGACCCTGGCTACTGACGGAGCCACCCAGCCTGGAGCACTGCAAACAGAGCTGGGTGGAGGTCCCCGCAGACCGGTGTTTAGGAAGTGATGGGGATTTTCTCTGTGGTTTGGTTTTTTGGGTCAGACCTGGCAGAGCTCAGGGGTTACTCCTGGCTCTGTACTCAGGAATCACTCGTGGTGGGGCTTGGGGGACCATATGCGGGGCCGGGGATCGAACCCTGATCAGCCACGTGCAAGGCAAATGCCCACCCACTCTGCTATTGCTCCAGCCCCAGGAGTTAGGGGAGGCTTTCTGTTTATTTATTTTTATATATGGGGCGATAGCACAGCGGGTAGGGCGTTTGCCTTGCACGCGGCCAACATGGCCGACCCGAGTTCGATTCCTCCGCCCCTCTCGGAGAGCCCGGCAAGCTACCGAGAGTATTCGATATGCCAGACACAGTGACAACAAAGTCTCCAATGGAGACGTTACTGGGCCCGCTCGAGCAAATCGACGATCAACGGGAGGGCCTTTACTTTTACTTTACTATATAAATTAATATCCACTTAGCAATAAGTTTCCCAGGTATTCAAATGCCTCTTATTTTGGCTTGTCTTTTGGACCACACTCAGCTCAGGCCTTACTCTGGCTCTGCGCTCCGGGATCACTCCTGGCGGAGCTCAGGGGACCATATGGCGGGCCGGGGATCGAACCTGGGGTGACCACGGGCAGGGCCAGTGACCTACCTGATGTCCTATCACTCTGGCCCAAGCCTCTCTATTTTATTTATTATTTTTTTAATTTGGGCTGGAGCGATAGCTCAGCGGGTAGGGCGTTTGCCTTGCACGGGGCCGACCTGGCAGAGCCGGGTTCGATTCCTCCGCCCCTCTCGGAGAGCCCGGGAAGCCACCGAGAGTATCTCGCCCGCCCGGCAAAGCCTGGCAAGCTACCTGTGGCGTATCCGATATGCCAAACACAGTAACAAGTCTCACAATGTTACTGGGCCCGCTTGAGCAAATCGATGAACAACGGGAGGACAGTGAGTGAGTGTGTGTGTGTGTGTGTCTGTGTGTGTGTGTCTGTGTGTGTGTGTGTGTGTGTGGCTGGAGCAATAGCACAGCTGGTAGGGCATTTGCCTTGCATGTGGCCGACCCGGGTTTGATTCCTCCGCCCCTCTCAGGAGAGCCCGGCAAGCTACCGAGAGTATCTCGCCTGCACGGCAAAGCCTGGCAAGCTACCCATGGCATATTCGAGATGCCAAACACAGGAACAAGTCTCACAATGTTACTGGGTCCGCTCGAGCAAATCGATGAACAACGGGAGGACAGTGACAGTGATTTTTTAATTTATTTTTTTAATTGAATTGCAGTGAGACACACAGTTAACAAAGTTGTTCATTTTTGGGTTTCAGTCATAAAATGTTCCAACATCCAACATCTGTCCCTTCACCGGTGTATATTCCCCACCTCAAATGTCCCTAAATTTCCCTACCCCTCCTGGCCTGCCTCTATGGAGGGCACTTTTCTTCTTGGCCTTTGCCCTCAGGTGCTGTTATTTTTGTTGTTTTTGGTTTGTGGGCCCCATCTAGCGGTGCTCAGGGCTGCTCTGTCTCTGTGCTCAGGAGCACCCCTGGCGGGCTGAGGGGGCCATATGGGTCCAAACCCGGGTCACCTCTGGCTGCCTGGCCTGCTGTACTCTCTCTCGGGGTGAGATCTTTTATTTGGAGCTTTCTCCTTCTCAGATAAAGAAACTCCTTTCTTTTCCCGATTTGCCTCGGCTTGTGTTTTGCTGTCATTTCATTTGGGGCCTCTTCCTAGTAGCGCTCAGTTCTCAGCAACCGGGTGTTGCCTGGGACCAGAATTTGTCCCTGCCTAGGGTTTGTCTATTTTTAGCCCTGGAGTGGGTTTTGAAGTTTATTGAATTCAAGCTGATCCGTGGATTTCCCTCCTTTAATATTCTAAAGGGTTGGAGCGATAGCACAGCGGGTAGCGTGTTTGCCTTGCACGCAGCAGACCCGGGTTCGATTCCTCCGCCCCTCTCGAGAGCCCGGCAAGCTACCGAGAGTATCTCGCCCACATGGCAAGCTCCCCGTGACATGTTCGATATGCCAGACACAGTAACAACAAGTCTCACGATGGAGACGTTACTGGGCCCGCTCGAGCAAATCGATGAACAACAGGAGGACCGTGACAGTGACAATGACAGCTTAAAAACAACTGAGTTTTCCTGAAATAGCTGCATAATCCTTTCTGCAAACTGTGGGCTTCAGTTCACAAGTGCATCTTTAAGGGTTTTTTTTTTGTTTGTTTTTTGCATACAACACACATTACTTTTGGAACCCAGTTCCCGGAGTCCTGATAAATCAGTGCGGTGAGTAACCACTGCAGTGAAGACAGGGAGCAGCCTTGCTCCAGAAATCACCGGCACTTTATCCCTCAGCGCCGGCCGACGTGCCCCTTACTGGCGTGCGGCAGAATGACAGTGCTGAGCCCTGTGAGTCTGGCAACCTTCCCTCCGCAGAAAGCACTCGAGACGTATCCATGTTATGCGCGTCAGTAGTTCATCCCCAAAGAACGTTCTTCTGAATCCGTTTGCATGGCACTGTGTCTGCAAGTGGCTGTTGGGAACGGCAGAATAAAACTCCAGCCAGATCTGGAGAAACATCCTTTCCTCTTTCTTGCCAAGTCGTGCTCCGTCGTGCAGCAAAAGCTCGGGTGGTTGGTCTGCTCAGCCCTGGGGGAACCCGGGGCCCTTCTTCCCTGTGGGGAATGAACCTGCTGGAGACCCACCAGCTGCTGCTTCCTGTGAGCATATGTTTTTTCACTGCATTTGGCCCCGGGAGTAGGATGGCTGGATCCCGTTGCTGGTGTGTGCTCGACTTGGTGAGAAACTGCCAAATTGTCTTCCAGAGTGGCTGCACAGGGTGCCAGGTTCCCTCGCAAGACTGTGTCTTCCTGAGTTTGTTCACGCCGGGAAGCAAACAGGGATGTCCCTGTCCGTGCGCGCCATGCGGGAGAAACACAGTGAACGATAGTAGCTCAGGTGACGGCTCAGAATCCCAGCGGATGGCACATCTTCAGGGAGGAAAAATTATTTTGTAGGGGAATGACAGTTAAAGGAAAAAGAAGTTTTGGGCTCCCAAACAGTGATAGAAGGGAAGGACAAGAGTGGGAAAAGGAATGGAGTGGGAGTGTGTGGGGCTGCCGGCTTATCTCTGACTCCAGGGCAGGGGAGTTCCTGTCCTCATTTTAGGGGCAGAGGGAGTGGGGAGCGGGCTTTGCAGCCTGCTCTTGCTGATTCATTTTCGCACAAATTGATTTGTAAAAATT